GGATCAGCTTTATTCTTGAGGCACCACTCTTGCCCCCCTAGATAACCACCCCCACCCCTGCTCCCATGTAGGTGATAATTGAGCTATTCTTGGGAAATATGTGTATCAAATTACTGCGACTGTTTTGAGAGAAGGAAAATCCCATCTGTTTCTGCCTGTGCCTCCAGGGGGAGGCCAGCATCATTTTTAGAATAGGTACCCACACTAACATTTTCCTGATTGTCCTTCATTTTTCATGGCTAAGTACCTTAGCAAAACTAAACTAAATAGTCAGTTCCCAAAATACCCTCAATACTTGGAAATGAAGGGGCTAGGAATTCCACAACTGGTCCCTTATTCATCTCTATATTATTACTGTTTCATTTGATGTCCTTAATCTACAGCTGTGTCACTCTGAATGCCTGCCTCTTCACCTCTATCACCTCCCTAGTACTTGCTGCCCTGACTTATGAGAAGCCAGGGGATATTTCCAAGGGGTCTCATGGGCACAGACCAGTCTGCTCACTAAAGCTGGCAGTATGGGGGCTGGCACTGTGGCGTAGCAGGTAAAGCTGCTGCCTGCAGTGCCAGCATCCCATATGGGCGCTGGTTCAAGTCCTGGCTGCTCCACTTCCAATTCAGCTCTCTGCTATGGCCTGGGAAAGCAGAAGATGGCCCAAGTCTTTGGGCTCCTGCACCCACGTGGGAGACCCGGAATAAACTCTTGGCTCCTGGCTTCGGATCGGCTCAGCTCTACCCGTTGCAGCCAACTGGGGTGTGAACCAGCAGATGGAAGACCTCTCTCTGCCTCTCCTTCTCTCTCTGTTGGCAGGAATATTGAGGTCTGTCACTGTTAAAAGCTTCGAGGTTATTTCTGGACTTGTGTTTTTACTCAGCTTTTGCTAAGGAATATGTCAGAATGAATGATGGGACCAGAGAGAACACTTCCCAGTAGCCATTCTAAAAGCAAAAGGGCTCAGGGCCAGTGTGGTAAAGCAGGTAAAGCTGCTGCTTGCAATGCCAGCATTCCATAAGGGCACCAGTTCATGTCCTGGCTGCTCTACTTCCGATCCAGCTCCCTGCTAATGGCCTGGGAAAAGCAGCAGAGAATGGTGCAAGTGCTTGGGCTCCTGCCACCCACATGAGAGTCCTGAAGGAAGCTCCTGGCTTTGGACTGGCCCAGCCCCAGCTATTGCAGCCATCTGGGGAGTAAACCAGTAGGTGGAGGACCCTTCTCTCTAGCTCTTTCAAATAAATAAACCTTTAAAAAAATAAATAAAAATAAAAGCAAAGGGCCTGCCATTGGAAAAAATGCAGAGGAAGGAATATATCCCTGGGGTCTCCCCATCAGGAAGCTCCTAGGAAGTCTTTTATCCCTAAAGTCTGAGAGGTGTGTTGACCATGACCTGTTAACTGGAAGTTGCATTTTTTAATCTTTGTGATATATGTATAAGTGAAAGAATGGTTTGCAAAACCATTCTTAGCTTTCTACCTGCAATTCACTCTATTTTCCATTATATTCTGTTGTATACTATTTCTTGTTTAGGGGGGAAAAAAAAACTTCTGTTCATGATTCACAAAACAGAGTTCACCATTCACAGGAGTGTGGGTCCCTGCATTAAATTGGCTAGCAAGTCAGGTAGGCCTTTGCTAAACCTGGAGTCCCTCTGATGCAAAGGGTTATTGTACAAACTTTTTTTCTGCTACTGTTTCTGCCATCCGTGGTTTCTTTGCTTTGCCCTTCTCTTCAGCCTTTTGGTTTATAACTGAACCTCCTGGTCACGCCTCCACAGTCTGGTTTTTCGAAGTTTTTTACATGGTATACACTATTAACCTTAAAAAACAATCCTAAATAAAGCAAAGAAAAAGAATGTAGTTTATCCCAGTCACCTTCTTTCTAACCCTGGCCCCAGCCAATGTCACAGCATTGTCTTTTTTTCTAAACTTGCTCATATGCATGTATAATTCCTAGGAAAGGGGAGATCTTCATGGGAAAGCAGTAGTGTGGAGTTAGTTGTTCAAGTAGCTATCTTGGCTCCTGCAAAGTCTTTCCAATACCTAAAACCCTTCTGCAAATTAAGAGACTGTACTGACCATTGATGCTATTCTTTTCACTCTCGGCTCTCCTTTCTACCTTTTCCCCAAAGTGATGCTTTTTCCCCCCTCATAGAATACTAACCATGCAAAACAACCCAGATAGCAGAAGACAGGTGAATGGGGTATCTGCCCACTACTCCCAGCAAATACTGTGCATCAGTGTAATGTCTGTGGAGTGGGGGTATTCCTGAAAAGGAACTGGGGTGTGGGTTGGGCTTTAAAGCCTTTTCCCTTGCAAGTCTGTCCTAGACTTTATGCTGCTCTGTACGTCATGAGGTTACTTTTCCAGCTGCTGCTGCTGCTGCCATCATCATTAGTTCTCTTTATGGAACCACATGCTTGCTTAAAATGTCCTTTATGATGTTTTTCTTACAGATATGTCAGGCAGGACTGTCACTGACTTGACATCTGTAAATACCAGGGTACTTCATAAGTTTATTTTGGTACAAAAGATTTTGACATCCTATATGTGAGGGAATCCTATAAATTTCATGGAAGATGCATTTTGTAAAAACATTATTCATGGATTCAAATTTTTATCCACCAAAATACACAACTTTTAATTCTATTTGTCCGTGAACTTTCTGGAGTACCCTTGAATATACATTTAAATATATAAAAATATACTCAGTAATATATACCTTTCCTATGTCTTCATTTTACAAATATGGATTAGTTAAGCAATTTACCCAGGGTCATATAATTTATTAATTGATAAACTGAAACTCTCATTGTTTTCCTGAGCTTGTAACTTCCTTTTGAAAACACATGCTAGATTCATGGAGTTTAATGAAGTGCTTAATATCCAAAAGGCCATATCCCTCCCCTGTGAGAATACTCAGAAATTTATTTTATATAAATACCTATTTTAGTTTTCAAAGATAAAATATAAAATTAAATCACATACTGGTTTTCTGATTGTTCCAAAATACAAAATTAAATCATAAATTGAAAAATATTTATAATATCCTCTGGATGTTCTTTTTCTTCTCCCATTATCCTTTTTTCTGTATATTTTAAGAGGTTTTTTTTTTTTTTCCAGGGAAGGGGCTACCTTCAAAGTATGATTTAATTTAAATATGTAGAATACTTATTGTTATGAACTGAATTCTGGCTCCCCTCAAATTCAGATGTTCAGATTCTAACCCCCAGTATCTGAGTACATGACTGTAATTGGAGATAGGCCTTTAAAGAGGTAATTAATTTACAGTGAGTTTATATGAGTGAGTCTTCATCCAGTATGACTAGTGTCCTTCTAAAAGGAGGCAATTAGGTTACAGACATGTGCATGTATGGAGGAAAGACCATGTGAGTACAAAGTAAGAAGGAACCCATCTGCAAGCTAAGGAGAGAAGCCTGGGAAGAAACCAAACCTGCCAACACCTTCATTTTGGACGTCTAGCCTCCATTACTATGAGCAAATAAAGTTCTGTTGTTTACCCAGTCTTTGGTATTTTGTTATGGCAGACCTAGCAAATGACAGGGCTCCTATGCATTTTCTGTGTAATGTTTTATTTTAGCATTTGTACTGTCCAAGTGCAAAATATGCATGGTTTTTATTTGAAGCTATGTTCCTTTATACCTAGACCCTTCTGTGCTTTACCTTCAGATCCCCTTTGCTCTTTTACCTAGAGCACCTCACAAAACAACCTTGGAAACAAAAGACGAAAAAAGTGATAGCCAAATCCATAGAAAGCCTCTACTACCCTTTCCCCAGATCCCTCAAAAATAATGCAGGTTGTTTCTCTTTTAATCATACTCAAGGATAATTCCTAGGAGTTTGAAGTATTAGATAAGAGGACAGACAATGGGGTTGGTCATGAAAGCAGTGGCTTGAGACCTTTCAAAGTCTTGCCAAAGACCTAAAGCCAATCTGTGAGACAAGAGTTTAATGTCACCAAGTTGCTGTTCTTCGTGGTGTTGCTGCTCTCATAACTGTTTCCTTCTTTGACTTTTCTTTGCTAGTCCATATTTATAGTTAGACTCCTCCAAGAGTCACCCTTAGGGCTCCTGTCTTTCTCCTTTTACCCATTGCACTAAGAAAATATCAAATAATTCTCAAACAGAATGAAGTAGAGACTCTTTAGTTGGAAAAATATAAATGCAGACAGAAATAAGTAACCCAGGAGGGCTTTAGCATAGGATCCCTGATTTTTCTTGCAATCCAAGAGTTAATTAATGAATTTGGCTGTGCCCTGTGGCATAGACCACTGAGAATATATCTGTAGCTGAACACGTTGAGTTTATTACTCATTGTATCAAAGTAGAATAAACAATGGGAATGTTGATTGTTTTCAGTAAGATATTGGGGAGACTTTACTACAGAACTTGGGCTTATGGGACCAGCGTTGTGGCACAGCAGGTTAGACCACTGCCTGCATTGCTAGCATCGCATATTTTAATGCCAGTTCAAGTCCTAGCTGCTCTTCCTATCTAGCTCCCTACTAATGCACCTGGGAAAGCAGCAGAAGATGGCCCAAGTACCTGGGCCCCTACCACCCACCTGGGAGACCTGAATGGAATTCCAGGTTTCTAGCTGCATACTGGCCCAGCCCTAGCTGTTGCTGTCATTTGGGGAGGGAACCAGCAGATGGAAGATCTCTCTATCTTTCCCTCCCTCACTCTGACACTGCTTTTCAAATAAACAAAAAACTTGGGCTTCTGCTAGGTGATTTGGGAGGGTTTAGGGAAGCAGGATTGGACTGGAAGCTATCGGAGTGAGGATTATTCTATAATTGGGTATCTCAATACATTTTATCTATAGGGAGGGCTGACTAGTATGAAGCTAATGGTATACTTGGAAGTAGGAGTTAACTCATTTTAACTGAGAGAAAAAGTTTGGTATTTTGTGAATTGCACAATGAACTTGTTTTTGTATATGCTTACAGAAATTTATAGTCTTGTTTTGTCTCATTTCCTCATAGACTCAGGATGACCTGGTCTGATGTTAGTGTTTTATGAGATGTTCATATCCAACAGGAGGATAACAAGGCCTTGCAGTGAGTACCAGGCAGACCTCTAACAAGTGTCAAACCAGTTCTTGAATGTCAGGGGCTGGCTTTTTCTTTCTTGAGTCAAAAAATAATATAATGAACCAACCATTCAATCCAAGTGTTAACAGTAACCTTTTAACCTCTACTGTGTGTTGCCCCCTGCCCTGTTTTATCCCCTTGCCTCATTCCAAGACCTAATTGCCATCCTAAATTTTCTGATTGTTATCTTACTTTATAAAAAATCTCATCTGTTGGCCGGCGCCGCGGCTCACTTGGCTAATCCTCCACCTGCGGCATCAGCACTCCGGGTTCTAGTCCCGGTTGGAGTGCCGGATTCTGTCCCGGTTGCTCTTCTTCCAGTCCAGCTCTCTGCTGTGGCCCGGGAAGGCAGTGAAGGATGGCCCAAGTGCTTGGGCCCTGCACCCGCATGGGAGACCAAGAAGAAGCACCTGGGTCCTGGCTTCGGTTCGGCACAGCGCTGGCCGCAGCGCACCCGCCATAGCGGCCATTTAGGGGGGTGAACCAACGGAAAAAGGAAGACCTTTCTCTCTCTCTCTCTCTCTCTCTCTCTCTCCCTCCCTCCATCCCTCCCTCACTCTCACTCTCACTCTCACTCTCACTGTCTAACTCTGCCTGTCAAAAAAAAAAAAAAATCTCATCTGTAGGGCCAGCACTGTGGTGCAGCCGGTTAAAAGTCCAGCCTGCAGTGCCAGTCTCCCATATGGTCTCTGGTTCGAGTCCCAGCTGCTCCACTTCCGATCCAGCTCCCTGCTAATGTGCCTGGGAAAGCAGATGAGGATGACCCAAGCCCTTGGGCCCTCACTCACATAGGAGACCTGGAAGAAGCTCCTGGCTCCTAGCTTCAGATTGGCTCAGTTCTGACCATTGCAGCCATTTCAGGGGTGAACCAGCAGATGAAATACCTCTCTTTCTCTCTGTCTCCACATCTCTCTGTGACTCTGTCTTTCAAATAATAAAATAAATCTTAAATCTCATCTGTAAATCTCATACTGTATGATTTACATGTTTTGAACTTACATTGTTCAATAAATAAGAGTACTGTGCCATATGTATATTTTGGGGACTTAGTTTTCTCTTACATTATTATTACTATGATCAGTCTATATTGTGTGGTTCTAGTTCATTTCTTTACATTGTATAATAGTTCATTGTGTCACTATATTTTCTTGATCTATTCTCTTAGGGATTTGTGGGGTTTGTTTTGAAGCCTTATTTATTTTATTTGAAAGGCAGAGTTACAGAGAGAGGAAGGGAGGGAGCAAGAGATCTTCCATCAGTTGGTTCACTCCCCAGCTGGCTGAAGCCAGGAGCCTGGAACTCCAAACAGGTCTCCTACATAGGTAGTAGGGGCCTAAACACTGAGGCCATCCTCCACTGCTTTCCCAGGCACATTAATAAGCAGGGAGCTGGACTGGAAGTGAAGTAGCCCTTTCTCAGACTGGCACTCATATGGGACACCTATGTTGCAAGTGGTGGCTTAACCCACTATGCCACAATGCCGGCCTGTAAAATTTGTGTTCTTTTGAATGTTTTTGCCTTTACAAATAGTGCCAATGCAGATTTTCTTATGGATTCCTCTTCTCTATGTGCAACTAGGAGAGAAATTGCTAGTTCATACATTTGTGGATTTCAGCTCTGGAAAATAGTGTCAAATTGCTTTTCAGTGAGATTGTACAAATCTACAGTCCTACCAGCAGTGTATAAGAGAGCCCAGTGACCCATATCCTTTTTCACACTTGATATTATCATGTTAATTTTTTAATCAAATATATGTAAAGTGGCTCATTTTAATCATGATTTACTTCTCTCTGATTACTAAGAAGAGTTTCATTTCAGATTTTGTATTGAATTTTGTATTTTTTATGATTAGAGCTTTCTTTATGCTTTTAAGAAATCTTTCTGTACTCTAAGGTCTCCTTAAAGTTTAAAAGTCTTGCTTTTACATTTAACTTCTTAATCTGTTTGGAGTGGATTTTCACTTAAAAATTATGGACAGCCAGTTTTTTCAGCCCCACTTGCTGAACAATCCGTCATTTCCCTAGTGGTCTTCAGTACTTCCTGTGTTTTATAAATCAAACTTCCATCTGTGCATGTTTCTATTTCTGGGTTGTCTGGTAGTCCATTTTTCTATCCCTTTTCTCAGTTTTTATATGTAGTATTTTAAAAGATATATTATCTATTTTTTTTTTCTGCATAACAGAATTTAGCTTTATACACAGGCCCCATCCAGCACTCAGCCCTTCATTAGCTTTGCCACGATGATGCATTCTCCTGTGGTGGGGGTAGATCAGGAACTGGCAGGGAGGGGCCCATGGCCATCCATAAGGTGTGAGAATGAGTCTTATCTGTTGAGGTTTCTGTGTCCTGCTCTCTATTGGCCCCCCACAGTGATGGGTACCCTCCACTCTGTCACTGGCCCCCTGACCTTCTCTTCCTCACTGCAGTCCAGCTTTGAGGTCCTGGTTAGAGAAAATTTATCCTTCTTCCAAGTTTCTCCATTCTGTTGTTGCTAAAAGGAAATTCTTGGAGCTTGTATTTTAGAACATGTATCCTTAGGTATTATTCTGCTTCCCTCATTTGATCTTCATTTATGCTGCCATTGCATCATCATCAATCATTGCAGATCCATAGCTGAAAACTATTGTTGATGAGGACTGTATATGAAATACAACAGAGGTGTACGTTCCAGAGCAGGGCTGTGTGTATTCTGGCTCTAAGGATGGCACAACTCAATGGTGGCTTGAGGGTAGGGCCTTGGCCCCTGCCCATGCAGCCCAAGGCCAGCTCACATGTCCTGGACAGGAAAGTGGCAGCAGCACAAGCCAACCTACCACTAACTCTTTTTCATTAAGCTTTTAATTAGACAAAATTTCTAGCATATATATAGAGAGAAAATGTAATGATCACCCTAATCCCTGTCAGCTTCAATAATTATCAGGCCATGGCCAATATCATTTCATCTCCAAGGCTATTTGAAAATTTGGGAAAATGGAACTAAAGGGTAAGTTTATTGGGGCTGGTATTGTGGTGTAACATGTTAGGCTGCCTGCGATGCCAGCATCCCATCTGGGTGCCAGTTCAAGTCCCAGCTGTTCCACTTCCCATCCAGCTCCCTGCTAATATGCCTGGGAAGGCAGCAGAAGATGGTCTGAGTATTTGGGCCCCTGCTACCCACGAGGGAGATCCAGAGGAAGCTCCTGCCTCCTGGCTTCAGCCTGTCTCTTGGGGCCATTTGGGGAGTAAACCAATGGATGGAAGATTCTCTCTTTATCTGTCTCTCTCTCTCCTATGAACATTTTGAAGACCCCTTGTATACTCCCACCAGACTTCACTTGCTCTTATCCTAGATTAGTTTAAAGCAAACTCCAAACATCATATCTTTTTATCTGTAAATATTGAGTATGTATCTCTAGACAATAAGAGATCTTAGGAAAACATAATTACAGTACTGTTGTCAAACATGCACTATTAAATGTTTTCTCAAATACATAGTCAATACTGAGACTTTCATCTAAAATATTTTTTGTTTGAGTTAGGACCCAAATAATGTGTATGTCTTGGTATTAGCTGATACCTTTCCATTTCTTAGTTCTCCTGAGATGACTTAAACAGTCAATAAGAACACAAATAACTTAAAAATAGAGGGAAAGATCTGTATGGCCACCTTATCAAAGACGATACAGAGGTGGCAAAAACAAAAAATTAGATGATGTTCAACACCATAAGTCATTAGATATTGCCAATTGGAATAACAAATATCCATCATATGGATGTATATTTAGCTTACCCATTCACCTATTGAAGGCCATCTTGGTTGCTTCCAAGGTCTGACAATTATGTAATCACCAACTTCTCTGGTACCACTCTGGTTCAAGCCACTGTCATTTCTTGACTAGATTATTGAAATATTTTTACTAGAATCCCTGATTCACCTGTCTATTTTCAACATGCCGTCTGGAGTATGCTCTTAAAAGATGTTAGATAATGTTATTTCTGTTTAAAGTCTAGTTTTATTCATAGTAAAACTAAATCCTCGTGTGGATTATTTAAGTTTTAAGGGCCCTGGTATTGTTAGAGAGTTGCTCATTATATACCATTATTTATGATTTATGTGTGAGTATATTTTCTCAACTAGTACCTCATGCTTATTCCTTACCTCTGCTGTCGTATTAAATGCCCTTTTTTCAGATTGTCTTTCAAAAAAGCATACCTCCTATTCTCTGCATTCTCTGATGTTTTCTGTGAGTACACTAGGTTTTACTGTAGTAACAACCAATCTCCAAATCCTTGAGGCCTATTGAAGAAATAGTTCATTTATTATTCATGCTGTGTATTCATTGAGATTTGGCTGGAGAGTCTGTTCTATGACTTCCTCACTCCAGAACTCGGGCTTCATTCTGGAACCTTGCCAGTTGTGAGAGAATGTGGTGAAGCTTACTCTTGAAGGTTTTGCCAAGAGCTGATAAGTGTTATTTCTGCTCAAATTCCTTTGGCTAAAGCAAGTCATGTGATGCACATACCTTCAGAGGGGAATGGATAAATGCAATCCTACTGTGTTCCCAGAAATACAGGACCAGAATACAAATAGTCTTAATGACTATTGCTATTTGATCTTGCTAAGTCCTAGCATGATTTTTAAAGTTGATGCTATCCTGTCAGCTTCCCAATGGGCACTTACACCTAGGATTTTCTTTTTAAGTCCCTAGTGTTCCTTTAGAATCAGATTTTCTTTTTTTCTTTTTTTTTCTTTTTTTTTAAATCTATTTGAAAGGGAGAGAGAGAGAGAGAGAGAGGTCTTCCATCTACTGGTTCACTCCCAAAATGGCCACAGTGGCTGGAGCTGGGCTGGTCCAAAGCTAAGAGCTAGGAGCTCTCTTCCAAATCTCCCACATGGGCTGCTGGGGCTGCTTTCCCAGGCACATTAGCAGGAACCTGGATCAGAAGTGGAGCACTCAGGTCTCGAACCTGCACCCATATGGGATGCC